TTATTGATCCATTGTTATACTACAGAAGGAAACCTATTTATACTGGGAATAATAACTTGTTGGATACTTACATTAGCAAATTCACGAAAAGGTACAAACTGAACAATATCTCTGGCTGCGACACCACTACGGGATCTTAACCTGGAAATGCGCAAAGGAATTAGTTCGTGGATTCTCGCTATGGACTCATGTGAGGAGTGTCAACGCTCTGCCAAAAGGGAAAGTTGACAGGGGGGTTAGGATAAACATAGTTAGGAAAGTAATATCACAATTGTTGTAAAAATAAAATAGTCTAGGCTTTGTAGGTAATATATAAGTAAGCGTAATACTCGATGTAATCGGTCATTGAAAAGCCCCGTTAGACGTAAAAAAAATACCTGTGGTTCCGGTTTCATATCGTGAAAAAATTAGGGTCGGTAGGTCGGGAAAAAAATATTTTTAATTTTTTTCCATGGTTTTGGCGGTTTTTTGCTGGGTGATTTGCAGTAGAGTCCCGACATCAATATTAAATAGAGATGCGTATTTCCTATGGACAAATTTAGGCAATTTGGTTCAATAATTAGTATGGCAACAGACGCCATTTTGGCACGCTGCATGAGCAGCCCGCAACCACCTGGAGAAAATAGGGTCGCGCAGTCAATCGCGTTGAAAAAATAACAGGGTCGGCAGAAAAAAATAGGGTCGGTCGGGAACCGGAACCACAGGTATTTTTTTACGCCTTATGAGTAGGCTGAATAATCACAATCATAATCAATCAACAGTTTCATCCTGTATACTTGATCACTATGGCTATAAACTTTGCCGGTTTTCCAGCCCTTCAGGTATCCGTCCTGGCTAATAATAATTTGGGTATGGCTAATACTGTTTTGCTCTATATTGAGGCTCCGGTTATTAACTGATGAGCAAAGCGAGTATGCAAAGTATGGAAGGTCGAAGCTTCAAGGGCGCTGTGAGCACAGTGGTGGGCAAAGGCAGTTGGGGGAGGGTGTCTTTACCCATTATCTGAATTCGGCAATGTCTGCTAGACTCTAACCGTGTTTCGGATTTATGAGGAAATTGTTTTTGTTGAGCGAAAATTTTTTAGTGGTTCCGGAATAAAATGTGACCCCCATTCAAAGAGGTCTAGCGACGCCCCTGGGCAAAGGCTTGCAAGCTTTGTCTATTTGGTACATGTATATTGTCCGAGTGCAAGATCGGGCTAAAAATTTCAGCTTGTCATGATTGCAAGTACCGGCGAATTACACACAGCCTCTGACGAATGGCTGCATGTCAAATGTCTTCTAATAGCGCCGGCGAAATTCACCGTTCGCCGGCCCAAAACAAGATCGGTGGTTTTCGTTTTATACAGTAGTGTACCTTCCGTCGTCACAATCCAAGGTGTTCATATCAGTGAAGTTTGCAGCTCCGACACCAACTATAATGATTGATAACGGATAATGAGATGCTCTCACGATAGCATCGATTGTATATGACATATCTGATAGCACACCATCTGTTAGCAGTAAAAGTACAAAATAATTCTGAAAAGTAAAAAAATAAATTTTGCAATTGATGAAACCATTCCAAAACAATATTATAATTAATAATAATAATTTAATATATTTTATATAGCGCCATTTCCCGAAGCTCAACGGCGCTTTACAAGTTTGGTAAAATAGATAAGTAGAAATTACATTTAGTCTTGGGGAGGCAGATTTGAAAGATCTTTCGCCAAAGCTTTTAATACGATTAACTTTAGCTGGAATGAGCTGATGTTTTGATGTTGACCTAAGTAGTCTCGTTGGATTATAACGATGAAGATCGCTCTGATACTTCGGTGCCATTCCATTCAGCGATTTGTATGTTAATAACAGTATCTTATACATATGATATGCTGCTCTACTGGTAACCAGTGTAAATCCATGAGTACTAGTGTGATGTGTTCGTCCTATTTAAAATACTCATTAATAATTCACGAAGAAAATTCAAAAGAAATGAATGTTTAATCAATGTTTGTAAATTGGATACAGATTTGTCCTGATTTACATAAACTTCAGCTTTGATTTTCTCGGCTTAGACAATGTTTATTTTTAAAATTACTTCGCCAATGAACTCAAAAGATATAGGTCGTTTTTTGTGTTTCACCTCAACTGAGCTAAATTTAGTTTTAAGTTCTAGTTAAAACATTCGCATCCGATCTTTATCTGATATACAAACTCTCGCCTTCGGTTCGAGTTTGTAGCTATATCAGATAAAGATCAGCTGCTCGTGTTTTAACTAGAACTTAAAACTAAATTTAGCTCAGTTGAGGTGAAACACATTTACCGAGGCTGTGTTTTCTCGAGAGGCTTCTTCAGCAAATTTTGCGACGTGATTTATGATAGGCGAGGCATTAGTCGGGCCATAGAGTTTGACTTGACTGATTGCATTCTGATAGGCCGCGACCACTCCTTGAACTCCTGAAAAATCAAGCTATGTTTTAGGGATGGAAAAAATATTTTATAATTTCTGCGACTGCAAGATAAACATTTTCTGTGGGAAAATAACGAAATGACTGCCGAAGAAAGATTTCTTTTTTTTTTTGCTGAGAACAAACAAAGACATGTCTTTTTTCATAATTTTATTTCAGAATATATTTAGATGTCTTTACTTCATTTTATAACTTGTTATATATAAGTTGTTTATTTTTATGTTATATTACAATTTATTGAGCAAATGCTTTGAATTGTTTTTTTCTTGAAAACACTGCAATTTCTGGAACCTCAATTGCAGTGAACACAGGCCAGAACACCATGCCACAGAATAAGGTACAAAGAAGGCCGACTTCTTGGTTTTTCCTATGATTTTCCAATGATTTGGGCGTAAACCGTAATTCGTCATCAAATGCTGACGCCATGGTCCTAGCCAGTGCGCGTTTGAGAGGCATTCACCCCCCTGATAATATTCAAAATGGCGGATGTCCAGGGGGAATGCCTCTCAAACGCGCACTGGCTAGGACCATGGCGTCAGCATTTTGATGATGAATCACGGCGTGGAAGCGGTTACTCGAGTCGACCTTCTGTGTACCCTATTCTGTGACCATATACTGCTCCAGTAATATTGCATCAAAACTGCAAAGATTATCTTACCTTGACAGTACGGATTGGTGGGATTAAAATTAAGAGCAAATTCGTGAGAAACCTATATGCAGGAAACGAAATAAAACAGCATGATGTTGATTCTCTTACTTGCATACTATCTTAATTAAATCATGTCATCACCTGCATATCAGGCGGTAGCATTGCACCAAATCCAAACGCTGGAAACAATTTATCACTGCAATAAATGACATAAATGAAATTAGTTTATAGTTTAGGTTTCCTCCTGTAGTAACACTGGGTCAATAAGAGATGATCCTTACTGGACCACTAGGAAGAACAGTTTAGAACTGATAGAGCTATCCAGTATAAATAAAGTCAGTTTAGTTTAGGTTTCCTCCTGTAGTAACACTGGATCAATAAGAGATGATCCCTACTGGACCTCTAGGAAGAACGGTTTAGAACTGATAGAACTATCCAGTATAAATAAGTTAATTTAGTTTAGGTTTCCTCCTGTAGTAATACTGGATCAATAAGAGATGATCCTACTATTACTGGATCTCTAGGGAAAACAGTTTCAAACTGATAGACCTATCCAGTATAAATAAAGTAATTTAGTTTAGTTTTCCTCCTATAGTAACACTGGATCAATAAAAGACGATCTTATTACTGGACATCTAGGAAGAACAGTTTAGAACTGATAGAGCTATCCAGTATTTATAAAGTTAGTTTAGTTTAGGTTTCCTCCTGTAGTAACACTGGATCAATTAATTTTGAGCTGGTCTTTCCTTTGGTATAAAGTTATTTTTTTTCAATTTGCTACTTTTCACCATTAGATTCCAGTCTCCTCATCACCCTCGGAATGGTAAATACAATGGCTCTACTTACGTATCATAATCTTGACAAATCTCACCGACAGCAGTGAGAGCTTTGATGTATTCATTTGGTTGATAGGGATTGATGTAGTGCAGAGAAGTGGGTTGACTTGGGTGACCGTTGGACGCTGTAAAATCAATGCCAACCTATAATGACCAAAATAGGAAACGTCAGGGACCTATACATGTAGAAGATATTAGACGGAGCAGGGTGTTAGCTAGCCCATATACTGTCCGTTTGACGGACTCTTCCCAATTGAAGTAGCCAAGGGGCTTTCCCAACTGGGTCTACTGGAAGATTTTCATTTTTTCTGATGAGAAAGTGCATTGCGTTTGATTTTATATTATTATTTCAAAGAACTTTTTATTTGAATTTTTCTGTGTTGGTGTTGTGTACTCAGGTGAATAATATGTTTGCGATGTTACTCTGAGTGCATATCCACACTGGGCGAGCTTGAAAAATATGCCCGGCCATGGTAGGATTCGAACCTACGACCTTTGGAATACTAGCCCAATGCTCTTCCAACTGAGCTACGCGGTCAGGACGGTTCGAGTAAGTGATATTTCGGAACAGCATCTAGTTCCTTCAATACCAATGTGTTCTAGTAATATGAATTTTTCTGTGGTGGTGTTGTGTACTCAGGTGAATAATATGTTTGCGATGTTACTCTGAGTGCATATCCACACCGGGCGAGCTTGAAAAATATGCCCGGCCACGATGGGATATGCACTCAGAGTAACATCGCAAACAAACTTTTTATTTATTTTTTCCCATTAACTATTTTCTCAAAATGTATAGCGTTTCATTCATATTGGGTGTGTATTCACTGAAATGAAATGTACAAAACAAAGTGTAATCGGTGTGCATCCGTGTTCATTCACCGGAAATGAAATGTACAAAACCAAGCTACCGTTGTTTGCATCTAAGGAGAAACACGTTGGAAAAAAAAAACACTATTTATTCTTGCACAAGGACTTTGATCGGTCAAAAAAACTTTCCCTAGATTTTATGTCCGAGTGAGCGCAGTGAACGAGTGAGGTATTGTTTTTGACACGAGAACATAAATTCATATCTTCTCGCAACCGTTAATGTTCTGTTTATTATATGGATTTATTCAAAGTGACAAAAATACACACAAAGACGACATGTAAATAAGCACGCGAAAGACCAGTATAAATGAGACATGTTTTAAAATTAGAGCGCAAACATAAAACTAGAATAAATTTTACCACGGTTAATGGACCTAGATTTACTTATCTCAAGATGTCTTTTAAATATTTTCGTTTTATTTCCAACGTTAATTTCGTTTTGTACGAACCAAAGACCATTTGTATTTTCAAAAGTCAAAACAACAACAATGAATGAAGATGGCGGGAAATTTTCGAACTTCGTATATGTCACTCACAAGATGCGGAAAATACGCGCATCAGGTCCCGGATGTAGTGACGTATCAGTTCTACGAGTGTTTTAGTTTCCAGTAAAACACCACTGTCCATATAATAATTAAAGTAAGATACTTACTGTAAAATTGATTTGACATCCTCCCATGATGTAATCCAGGAATGAATACACGTGCGTTACCTAAATAACAAAACTGTCAATCTACAGTCATAATAAACATTAAACACTCCTATCCATTATGCTGCGATGCGCCCAAATGCACCCTAATCTATTTTAGTCTGTCAAACATCACATGATTTTTCTCAGTCTGTCTAACATCAGATGATTTTTTCTCAACAACGAGCAGTGAGACCTGTAATTGATTTGCAGTCTTTGAATGGCCTCTAGTTAACTTATTAGCCATTCCGAAGTTGATGAGTGGACTGGAGACGAGTGTTAAGAAATGAACCAAATAACTAAAAAGACCACCTCAAAATTAGTAAGTATACAAAGTTTGAAGACGTTTACATGAATATCCTTCGAATAATAAGCTTTCGAAAATTGTGAAATTACTGATTAAAAGACTGTTTTTGGGACGCGCGTCCCCAAAACAAACATTACAATACATTTCATAGTAAATATCGCGATTTTCGAAAGCTTATTATTCGAAGGTATTCACGTAAACGTCTTCAAACATTGTATACTTACTAATTTTGAGGTGGTCTTTTTAGTGATTTGGTTCATTTCTTAATTTGGGCCCCTTTTAACACCCGTCCCCAGTCCACTCATCAACTTCGAAATGGCTAATTGGGCGAACTTTACCTTGCAGTTACTGAGATAGACAACCCCAGAGTTTGTATAATTTCTCTTTTTCTGTTTCTTTGGGTTAATACATGGCCACGAAACCTAAGAAGAGGTTTTACATACAGTTTAGAATTATTAATAGCAGCATCGGCGGATTTTGAGGGGAGGTGTGGGGAGGTGCGCACCTCCTGGGGGAGGTGTGGGGAGATGCGCACCTCCCCTAAGATCGTTTTGCACCTCCCCTGAGAATTTTTGCACCTCCCCTGAAACATCATGCACCTCCCCTTGGGGAAGTTTCAATGATAGATCAAAGTGAAAATTTGACATTCTTTGGTTGCTTAGGGTCCACACTTCGTAAGAACGTTTTTTCTGTAAAATTGAAACAGTGATAGCCATTCATCTCTGTATCAAGTACCCTTTTAATGCAATGTTTTGAAAGAAACTTTGTAGTAATTGTAATGAAGGGCGAAATTGGGTGAGTTGTACAGTCATAATTCATTAATACACTGATACATATGTACACTACATGCATACGTCACATCGTTGACTTTGGCCCGTCCTAAGCCCTAACTTTCCATGGGGATCGTGAGCTAAACCACTGCACCTCCCCCACTATTTCCACCAAAATCCAGCCTTGATAAGGTCAAGCAATTCTTGACAATATCTACTGCAATAAATGAGATTTAATGTTACATACCTCTCTTTCATTCGCTTTTAACATTTCATTAAAAGTAGTTGTGAAAGATCCAATCAAGTCATCGCTCCCGTCACTGTCCCAGTCATAACAATCAAACTAAACATAATATTCATATTTTTGTGTGCGTTTTTGATCAAAAACACACAAAAAATATCATGATCATAAGAACACATTGGTATCGAAGGTACTAGACTTAGTTCCGATACACTACACATTCGAACCGACTTGACCTCGTAGCTTAGTAGACCTTTTCCCTTATGAGTGAAATTTTGATCTAGAGTAGCCTGGACAAAAATTTCATCACAGCTTGAAAGAGCATCACAAAATTAGTAATATTCCGAAGTTTCGTTGCGAAATGTTGTAAAATGCGGATAATATAGCCTTGCGAAGTTTGCCGTTTTTCAGTCATTTTGCTACAAACAGGAAATTGATAATCAGTTTGATCATCCGATTATCAATTTCCCATTTGTAATACAAAATGAATATTAATTTTGTGATGCTCTTTCAAGCTGTGATGAGATTTTTGTCCAGACTTGTCTAGATCAAAATTTCACTCAAAAGGGGAAAGGTCTGTTGGTCAGGCAAACGTTTCAGCCTGCAATGTGTGGATGTACACTCAGGGTAACATCAGAAACATTATCTTTGTCGATGTGTATCGTTGTACTTCAAATTCAACAAGCTTGCAATAAAATAAATAATTAAACCACTTACTTTAATAGGTCTATTATAATCTCCATTACATAACGTATTTACGGTTAAGTCAAATGGAGGCCAGGCTGGATCAAGAGTATTTTTTATAACCTACAAAAGTATAAACAATTAAATAGTAGATATATTTTGGAAACTTATTAATTTCTTTTTACTTTCAAATATTTTGAGTACTTTCCTAATTTAATATGATCATAATTTATGAAGCAATAAAGCGAAATGCCAAATGTACCTTGGTTTTATGAACTGATACAAAACTGCCATCTGGTAGCTGTCTTGATATGATCAAATATGGGTCTGACTTGCCAAGAAAATCCTGATAAAGAAATCATAAAAATATTCTCGTAAAAACATTCCATTACTATGCGCTCACCATGCACATTAACCCATTGAGTTGCATTGCACCCTGATGCACCCTACTTTACTTTAGTATTTTACTCTAACGCCAGACGATTTTACTCGTCAAGGGGAGAGCGCTGACGCTTTATAATGGGTTAAAGCCAGTTCTCCACTTGAACAGCATATCGTACTGTAGCGCAGTATATTTCTTTGTTTCCTGAGCACTAGAGTGTAACTAAATGACTTCGACACAAAGAAAATGCTACGATACATTACAGTTGAAGTGGAAAACAGGCTTAACTTTTTAAGTGGCAATGCACCGTACTTTATTATATTCTACTCTGTCTAAAGCCAGGCAATTTTACTCGTCAAGGGGAGAGTGCTGCCGTTCAATGGGTTAATAAAACAATATGGTTCGAGTTAGTCACTGTACCTTTTTGTCCAGTTTTTGGGCTCTCATAGTCATGTTGACTCTGTCGTTACCTTTAGAAATTTCCTCAGCAGTAACCTACATAGTGAATAAATAGACCTTTCCCCTTATGAGTGAAATTTTGATCAAGACAAGCCTGGACAAAAATTTCATCACAGCTTGAAAGAGCATCACAAAATCAGTAATTGTGAAATGTTGTAGTTGTGAAATGTTGTAAAATGCAGATAATATAGCCTTGCGAAGTTTGCCGTTTTTCAGTCATTTTGCATTACGCGGGGGAAATTGATAATCAGATGATCAAACTGATTATCAATTTCCCATTTGTAATAGAAAATGACTGAAAAACGGCAAACTTCGCAAGGCTATATTATCCGCATTTTACAACATTTCGCAACAAAACTTCGAATTATTACTAATTTTGTGATGCTCTTTCAAGCTGTGATGAAATTTTTGGCCAGACTTGTCTAGATCAAAATTTTACTCAAGAGAGGAAAGGTCTATTGATGTTCTAAAGAGGACAAGAGGAGGGAAGGAAAGAACGAAGACGGAGACAAAGTTAGGGACTGGTCATAAAGTAACTGCTAGGGTGGGCTGGAGGTAAATCACAAATTTTGCCAATAAGTTTGTGACCCATCTTAGGATGTAGATAAAAATTTCAAAGCCCATCTAATCTTACCAAATTTATTTCATGACCCACCCACCCAATCTAAATTGGGAAAATACAATTTTACAATAAAAAAACTTGCAGGTATGAAGATTGTAAATATACACCGGCACTGTATTGACATACGTAATTCCACCAAGCTTGACCAACACATTCATCACCAGTTACGATACTGAGCAGCTCTCCAGTTGGTTGTGTTTGCTGTGATTCGACCACTTCTTGTTGTTGTACAGTATAAAACAAAGTACTGGCTTCAATAGCACATTTGCATTTGATGATTTGGATAGTTTTGTTTACTTTTATTATTAATATCTTTATGTAATATATAATTATTAACATGGGTTTTTGTTTGGTGGCCCGGGCCAACCGTGGACATACCAACAAAAATTGGCGGCCCATCAAAACTAACCAAAGATTTTCCATGGCCCATCCTAAATCACTCCAGCCCACCCTAGCAGTTACTTTATGACCGGTCCCTTAGGAGTGTCGATCGTGTGGATGAGTCCGCTTTTGCAAACGTGTGGTACCACCCAATAGGAGACGATCCCTGAAAATGAATGTCTGAAACTCAACATACAGTAATCTTTCCATGAGTACGACCACTTTTCAATTTCAGAGGTTGCGTATATCGAACATTGGATACAATCTAGAATGAGAGAATGCACCAATATAGTTTGGGGCAGCAATTCAGCAATCAAAATTTACATTTGTTTCTACTTTTTACAACCAAATTGTAGACTTTGAAATTTGCTATATATAATTCTCTCTGAAGATCCAAAAGATCGACAAATTTAGACCATTGCAAGTCAAAGTCTGTCTATAGAATATTAACAAGCTTTCGTTGGTAGGGATGCAAGTCATGCAATATATAAGGAGAATTTCAACGTTTTCGAATGAAGGCTGTTCACTATAAGACGGATTTGAGCCTTTGCTCGAAACGTCTAAATTTTCAGTGGTTCTACCGAAGGGAACAGGAAGACCTACACTGGCACTGACAATTTGAGTACTTTAATTTAAATTGTACACAAGCAACTGCACATATAGTATTCTAGGAATGAAATACCGTTTGCAAAAATGAAAAGCACATCCAATAACCTACTACAATAATCTACCTACAACACTCCAAAGAATACACTACTTACCTGACCAAGATTACAATCCATCTGTCCGAGGAAGTCATCATCGTCCAAACCACTCGTCTCATTGTCGATATCAAACACTGAAAACTGTAGTTTCTGAACTTTCTCAAACTGATAGTCGATATCAATCGGCTTTGTAAAGTTGGGATTTAAATTGTTCATAATTTTCTCTGTACGGGCAAACTAGGGTATTAATAAAATTAATTAACATTACCAATGATTGTCCAACCTCTTCCTCAGAATCTTCCTCGTGATGGCGAGGAAGACCCTGGGGACGAGGTTGATGTTGGACATCTTAGTCTGAAAAATCCACTGTATAAAACTACTGTATATTATTGTAACATAATACCAACCTATTGCTAATGGAATGAAATAAGAAATTATGGAACGAAATAGTCATTACTATTATTTTCATTGCGTCATTTGAAGCCTGGTGCACATGGTGTGATTTTAGTCGGCTGATTTAAATTAATCCTTGTGTGTACAGTGTCAGAATCCAGCAGTTTTGGTCGGCATACAATACCAAAACATTTTGTTCTTGTCCGATTAAAATTGGACGACTAAGAATAACCAATAGACCTGTCTCCTTATGAGTGAAATTTTGATCTAGATATGCCTGGACAAAAATTTCATCACAGCTTGAAAGAGCATCACAAAATTAGTAATATTCCGAAGTTTCGTTGCGAAAAAGGTTGTAAAATGCGGATAAGATAGCCTTGCGAAGTTTGCCGTTTTTCAGTCATTTTGCATCACAAAACAGGAAATTGATAATCAGATGATCAAACTGATTATCAATTTCCTATTTGTAATTGATAATCAGATGATCAAACTGATTATCAATTTCCTATTTGTAAATTACAAATAGGAAATTGATAATCAGTTTGATCATCTGATTATCAATTTCCCGTTTGTAATACAAAATGACTGAAGAACGGCAAACTTCGCAAGGCTACTGTACATTATCCGCATTTTACAACATTTCGCAACGAAACTTCGGAATATTACTAATTTTGTGATGCTCTTTCAAGCTGTGAAATTTTTGTCCAGACTTGTCTAGATCAAAATTTCACTCGAAAGGGGAAAGGTCTATTGGGCGTCTGCACTCTCCCCTTGACAAGTAAGATCGTTTGGCGGCAGACTGAGTAAAATAATAAAGCAGGGCATATTGGGGTGCAATGCAACTTAATGGGTTAATAAAACATCCACTACCTATTTACAAAGGCCAAGAGTTAATTCAGCAACTTGACTGAAAACAAAGAAGTAGCAGACAGTAAAATAAATATTGCAATTTCTCACACCGTTTTTTATTATTAATACGCCATAGTGCACTTCAAAAGCACTTCTATGATAAGTGTATTGCACAAAATTGTTTCATTTATTGCTAAGCAAATGCTCTAAATCAACACCACTTCATTTTACTAGCAAAACAACCACAGACAATTGAGACAAATATCATGTGATTCCTGCACATTTCACTCACCTCACGCCATTGCTTGTGACTTTCATCCCAGATATAAACAGCACAAATTGGATCCGATTTTGACAAAACGTCTTTGTCTTTTAGCCCTTCGCAAGAAATATGAAGTTGGACTTTCGAAACACAGTCCAATGCCATATTTTGACTAGAATATGAATTTTACTATCCACCCCTCGGAGTTCAAGAATCAAAATGTCAAATTGTCAATACGTCCAATACTTCGGAAGACCGCCCCTCCCCCCCCCCGATTTCCGAATGGTGAAAAACAAATATTTAGAAAGGAAAGCTTTTATTTTCGTTTTTAAGAGTACTAAGGCACATTAATAGTATATTGCTTCGTAAACGAGGCAGTTTTAGTGAAGTTGTAGAGGTTTTATAAGGGAAAAATCAAAAATTGTGTACGCTGTTTCATTTCATTCGCTCGATTTTCAAGTATACGGGGGGTTAGTAACAGAAAAGCATTTTCACTAGTCACTGTCAAAAATTCAAAATATTTTTAATTCATTATTTCTTTATTAATTATATTTACTTATTAATTTTTTCAATAAAGTTAAATTAAATCAACAAAATTAATTCAGCATCCTTCCTTTATTCTTTTATTCAATATCAATAAAGAATTACATATATATTATTTTACATGACTGCTGTTGCAAGTTGGATAAAAATAATGGTGCTCTTCAAAAGACTTCAATACATACATAAGTGAATGACTGTGTGAATGCATAGTTACAATTTTACAAGCTGCAATGAGTCACTCATGACAACCAGAAAAAAATAAAAATGGAATGAAATAAAATCTCATACTATGGTTATGATGGTGTTCTATTCAAAAGGAAATTGACAGCTATTTGGGTGACAATATTATCAGGGCCATACGCAGGATTTTTTAAGGGGGTCAGTTATACTTATATGCTGATATATGTACCCAAATGCCAATTCATTCAAAGTCTACAGAATACATTCTGATTCATAAGATCATATTTGGTGGCATTTGGCTTATTATTAAATTATAATAACAATATAAAATCAGTAAATTCATTTTTTTCTGTGGGGGGCAGAGGCAACTACTTGCCACAGCCCCCCTTCACCCCACACTGCGTACAGCCCTGATGATAAACGTAAAACCGTGTAAGCGATGACTATAAAAATACTAACAAGTGATAATTACTGATGGAGACTTGAAAGTAGCTTATTAACTCTTATTTGCTATATTTAATTCCCTTGATGTATGTATGTCATATGCTAAGTTAGGCAATATACTGTCAATTGCATAGCCGCATGGTCATCTCTTTCTGTAATAAAACACATAGCAATCATATTAGGCTATTAGCCACATGCATGGTCATGTGAAAATTGGATTCATTCAGGCTTACAATCAATCTCGTTCCCAGAGTATGCCTGTCAGCAGAGTCATGCCACTACATAAGAGGGTCTGAATGGGGTTAACTGACTACAGACATTTGCCTGAATTTTTGACTGACAACTGACAAAATATCCTAACTGACTACTGAGAAATGATGAAAAAAATTATAAGTCAGCATTTTGCAGTAACTGACTACTGACAGCTTGCAATATATCGCACTGACAACTGACAATTGGCTTAAATTTTAGCTGACAACTGACGCCCAAGACCCCCATTAAGACCCTCTACATAACGTGTGAACAGGCATACTCTGTGAATGAGATTGGCTTACAATGGCTTGCAATGTAATTATGAAACAAATGAAAACCTTTTGAAGATCGGGAAAGCTTTGAAGGGACCCAGCCAGCCAACCTTGCCTTTCTCTCCCCCCCCCCTCCCCCCACAATGCATCTACCAGCTCTGGGGACAATGTCCCACAAGCAGGGCCGTCCTCAGGAAATTCTTCAGGGGGGGTTTAATAAGTTCAATTCAACCGACTGGTTCAAAAAATTTTTTCCGGATCAAAAATTTTTTGGC